ATCCAAAGGGTTGATCGGCATGGACCACTGGCTGGCAGAGCAGAAACCACTCCTGACTTCAGCAAGGAGGCTGGGGAGTTAGTGTTGACTTGCTCGAGAGATGAGGTCAAGAAAACCGTTTCCTCATCGATGTTGAACCAGTTGGTGTTTGCTGCAGCTGGGGGTGTTCACAGAGATGAAGTGGAGCAGTGGCACTGTCCTGCAGAGCCGCTGTACAAGGCAGAAAGGGTCAAACTGCTGCTACCTGGCTGTCAAGCTGACACAGCTTTCAAACCTAAAACCGCAAACTTGTAATGGCATGACACCGTTAAGCAGCTCGGGACAAGGGGTTACCGTCTACAGCTAGGCTTACTGCTCTGAGCCGGGAAGAGCTGTTTAAAATTGACAGAGATCTCTTTGTTTGCTGTGTGTGGTTTAGAAATTAAGCAATACTTAGAAGCAAATATTGGTTGAAACATCAGCTCCTACTCTCCAATGGCCAGTTCAGCTCATCCCAGGTAGAAAACAGCATATTGCAACACAGTTAAAACCTGACACCAAATATTTCTCCTAGCCAGCAGGGGAAATAGGTTTGTGGCATTTCCTGAAAAATAAACTAACCGTGATGACTCTGGAGTTGGAGCACAGCCTCAAAATTGACCCGTAGGCCCAATCAGGGCCTGAAAGCATGTTGCTGGAAAGATTGCCACAGCTCTCCAGGTATTTGTCAGGCCTTGGGAGCCACAGACAATGCCAACCTGGTCCCAATGTGCTGTCAGCCACAGACACACTCACCAAGCTGGCACTCCCATGGTACAGCTTAGAGCTCCTGCAAGCCCCAGGCTCCAGGGATGAGTGAGTGTCTCCCTCTTTCAGGAGAGATATGGTGTTGGGCAGAAGGGATGGGATTTCCCCTGGGTGCTTACACTGACCAGGTAAACCAGGTCCGCAGAAGCCCCCTGACTTCTCCCTGCCCTGCCTGAGTACCTGAATGTTGAATGAGAGAATGGTTTGAGTTGGAAAGACCATCTAGTTTATCCCCCCTGCCATAGGCAAGAACATCTTTCACTAGGTCAGATTGCTCAAAACCCCACTCAGCCTGACTGTGAACCCCAGGGAGGGGGCATTCATAACTTCTCTGGGAAACCTGTTCCAGTGTCTCACCAGCCTCATAAAAAAATCTCTTCCTTATATAAGATCTAAATCTACCTTCTTTCATTTTAAAACATATGCTCCTTTTGCTGTTGCTACAGGCCCAGTAAAAGATCTCTCTCCATCTTTCCTATAAGCCCCTTTTATATATTGAAAGGCCACGGCATGGACTCCCCAGAGTCGAGTCTTCTCCAGGCTGACCAACCCCAACTCTTTCAGCCTGTCTTTGTAGGAGAGGTGTTCCAGCCCCCTGACCATCTTTGTGGCCCTCCTCTGGACCTGCATGAGCAGGTCCATGTCTGCTACTGGAGAGGCCAGAGCTGGACACAGTACTCCAGGTGGGGTCTCACCAGAGTGGGGTAGAGGGACAGAATCACCTCCCTTGAGCTGCTGGCCATGCTGCAGGATACGGCTGGCTTTCTGCGCTGCAATTACACAGTGCCAGCTCATGTCCAGTTCACCACCCACCAAGTTCTTCTCTGCAGAGCTGCTCTCCATCCATTCACCATCCAGCATCACAGTCTCCCCTGTCCTGAGATGGGCACTGTTGCCAGCTGAGTAACAGTCTTGCATCTCACCCTGGGCTATTGACAGAGGAACAGGGAAGGTGATCTGGGAAAATGGGTTCCCAACAGGCTGGTCTTCTTGCCTTCACCTGCTGTGACGTGACCTGTAGGGCCAGGACAGGGCAAGAACTTGAGCCCAGCTTTCACAGGTGACCACACTGATGTACTTGTCATGGGCAGGCTCCAGTCTTCTCTGAGCCACCAACTAGAAATTCTCATTTTTAGAGCCAACTCTATAGACAAGCCAAAAGTCCTGATCGGTGTATATTGCCCTCTGCCCTTGGTCCATCTCACCTCGAAGTTCGATTGATTACTTTTTTTTTTTTTTTACCTCCCCTTCCATTTTCAGTGCTTTTTATCCCTAATGTCTTAAGGTGAGCTGGGTCTTCATCACACAAATGCCAGCCTGATGATCCCTGGGAACAGCAGGATTAGTTCCAAAGGCCTCCACTGCTGGATAGGAGCACCTCTACAGAAATAACTGCTCCCAAGGGTCAGGCAAGATGCCTGTGTTGATGTGGTTCCTTGATCACAGCTTTGCCTCTCCCTGGTTAATGTTTTCCTCACATGCACACACCACCAGAGTTCAGGTCCAGCCTCCATTCAGCTGTGCTGGCTCCAGGGTGAGCTCTGCCGTGGGGAGCAGACAGCACTGTGATAAAACCAAGCCCTCTCCCAGATACTTGTGCCAGCTCTAACTTTATCCCAGCCCAATTACAACAAATGTCTTTTCTTTGGGACACAACCAAAATTCCAGTCCAGCCTCATCTCAACCACAAAAACAGTGTGATTTGCAGTACTAAGAGAGATGTAGAAATAAGCAGTATTATTTTACTTAGCATAGGGATGAGCCCTGTTATTTTCTTGAGGTTCAGATGTGTTTATGCATCACCAGTGACCCATGGTTGGACAGAGGGTGTGCCAATTTTTATTTCTTCATCACTCATGTAATTTTTAGCAGCATCCTCTTTCTGAAAACAGAACATCCGGGATCTGTAGTGTTGCAATACAAGTTCGTTAACTTGTCATATGTAATAACAATTCATCTTGTTTCATGAAGATGTATATTATAGAAGACTTGATGCTTTTTGGGTAACAAGGACAAAGTCCAAGAACCATTGGCTTAGTTCTGTCCTTTCTGGCAAAGCTGCTTCTGCTTGCATGAGCCAGAGCATTGGCTTCTTACCTTAAAAGACATGAAGAATTTCCATTGCTAGTAAGAACTGGCCCTCATGGTTCAGTCTTAGCTTAATCAACCAGATAGATGCATTTGGACCTGGGAGGAGCTCTGTTTTTGCAGAAAACTGTGCACCCAGGCAGTGAGGTATGGATCTAACCAGAACTTGTAGAAACGTGTGTGTATTTAGTGAGGGGGAGAGGACTCCCGGAGCGAATAAGTGTACATTTTCTAACACAAAATTTGGAAAAGCAGTTTTCTGATGGACATTCAGGGCAAGAAGGTTGCACCAAGAGGTTTGTCCCTCCTGGACTCCATTTTGCAGCTGGAGGCCACCCAGAGTACTTTTATCTTTTCATCCAAGGCTTCCTTTGGTGGGATGTGCTCCTCAGAAAGCAGCATCTTGGAGGCTTGTTTGGTCCTTTGGAAATCAAGGTCTGAGCCTTCCTGATGGCCTAGAGGACACATCGCCAATCTGCTGCGCTTCTGCCATTAGACACCTCTAAGGCAAGCTGCATGTTGAAAGAGTTTCTTCTCCCCAGAGCTGCTCTGTGTCAGGCTGGAGCAGTGATCTTGGCCACAGGAGAGGCAAAGCCACTGAAGGAGCAGAAACAAGATGGGCGCAGACCAGAAGGTGAATGGAAATCCGTCGTGGAGAAATGTAGGGTTTGGTAACATCAAAAAGAAGTATAGAAACTGCTCTTTATGTGGCCAATGACTTTCCAGTTGACTAATAGCTGGACAACTGGAAATCCAAGAGGCTACTGGTAAAGCCTGGAGGACAAGAGGTAAGCAGTAAAATTTATTGCAGTCCAAGATTCTTCCTTTGCCCCTGGGTCTGCCCTGATGCCATCTGGGAGGGTAAAGAGTGAAAACCACCCATCATATCACCATATCACAACCATCTCCTCAGCAGATACAGAGAGTACATTAGGGATGGAGGTGAGATTTGAGAGGAAAGGAGCAGTGCTTGGTTCATGTAAAAAAGGCTGGAAATGATGTGCAGAAGGCAAGATAGTATGGGGTCTTCCAGCCACTGCTCTTCTGTCACTTGAAAAGATCCTTTATGTTTTCCAAACTTTCTTCTGTGTCTTTCCTCTTCATCTGTCATGTGGCAAAAATTACCTTTATCTGCTCTGGCTACTGATGTAACTACTTAGTTTGTGAAGTCAAGATGTCCAAATGTTTTCACCACTTATGTGTGCTCCAAATGTTCACCATTTATTTACGTGCTCAGATATCTTTGTTTTTTCAGTTGTTCTGTAATTTCTAGGCTCTCTCAGGATAGCTGTTAGAAGCAGCATTTTAGAACAAATTGACAAAAAGCTATAGAAGAATCTTGTGGGATAGCCTCCTGTGAGCCCTTGTGCCTCTTCTTCCCATGGACAGGGACATTGCTAAGACTACCCTGAGTGAGGCAGGGAGCTGGAGATGGATTTCACTGGCATCTCTGTGTCTCAGTGGAGGAAGACCTTGGAGACTGCTGGAGTAAGGCTTGTAGTGGGAGCAAGTCATTCCCCTAGAGTTGCAGTGTGTTTGGAGATACTCTGGACACAAGAATTACTGATCTTCTGGGAAAGCAGGGGATGAAGGGATGAGAAATAGGAACTAGCCATGCTAAAGGAACTGCTAAAAATGATGCTGAAATAATCAGCATGGCCAGGAGTGCCTCTCACTCATCTTGTAGGGACCTCCAGCAGTGGTGGAGGTGAACATTGCTGGCAGCCCACTTCTCTGGGTCACTTTGTAGACCTATATACTTGACCTTACACTGGGTTCCCACCTGCACTGAAGCCATTGTGGGCACCACCATCCCCCTGCAGGTTGATGTGCCTTGAGCCCGGTGAGGAGGGAGAAGAGCCAACAGCCAACCTAGGGCTCTTTCAGCTGACCTCAGCCAGAAGCCCACTGTGGGCAAGCCCATGACACTGCTGCCTGGAAGGTGTGGGCAATGGGAGAGGAGGGACAGGTGCAGAGGATCCAGAAGATCACAAAGAGAGGCTGGTGCTCTTGAGTGCAAGCCTGGGAGCTGGACCTCACCACTGGGCTTCCTACAGCACTCTTGCAGCTTTTGTCAAGCAGACACAGTGGGTGGATCAACCCTGGCAGCTGCTGTCTAGGGATACTTCCAGGTGCTTGTGGGCCAGCTGATGTGGTCCAGGGACTCTCAGTTTGCATGTGCCAAAGTCAACCTGAAGCTGGTCTTGCAGCCTGCAGGAAAGATTGGGACATTGAGCCTGGGAGAACATCATGAAGGCAGAACTTATTGGTCTGCCCCACTGGTCCTGACTGCAGGGAGATAAATCAGGAGTGATACAATCAGATGAAGAAGTTTTGCAGAGGAAGGGGGAGAAGGGCAACTGCTAATTTCAAAATTTCCTCCCAACTTCATGCCAAAAATCTTAACAAAGGTGCAATATGTTTCCTTCTAGCCAGAGCTCTTATTGTACTGTCTGGTCACTGTCACTGGCTTTCATTGCCTTGAAAGGAGCAAGGAACTTGCCAGATCACGTATAAGGAAGATTTACTGCCTTTCAGGCCCATTGCCATTGCCAAGAGAGCACAAGGGAGCAAGCAGGCACTCAGGGTGCTGTAAGCCAAAGGGTAACGGGTACAAGAGCAGCAGTTACTAGCAAATATGCAAAACTCAGGACTAGATCCAACAGGGAATTTTTGAGATTAGGCTGCATGCAAGGCAGGGGTTGGCTAGCACAAAGAAAATAACCCTTCCTGCGGTGTTTCAACCTGCAGGGGAATTCAAATGTCACAATTTGGGAATTTTCCACCTGAAGCCCCTTGTAAAATAAAAAGCGCCTTGCCCTGCTCTGACTCCTGCCTGCAGAGGGGTTCAGTGCCAAAGTGAAAGGCTTCCTAAAAATGGGCTGATCCAGGGAGGGGGAGCGATTTAGGAGCTATTGAGAAACAAGGAAGGACAAACAGGGTTAGGTCATTGCTTCTGCAAACACAGCCAGGGCTGTTCCTCTATAAAAGGGGGAGAAAGCGGTTCCAGAGGCATCACAGACTTGGAGGGGACAGTCTGTGACCAAGGCTGCTGCAACCCCTCCTCTGCACCTGACTCCCCACTCAAATATGAAACTCGTACTCTCCACTGTGCTGTCCCTCGGGATAGTGGGTAAGTGTCTGCTGAAAGCAGTTTTGGGGGAAAGAAAGAGTCAAAATCTCCCAGAACTCCAGGCTTTCCCCTTAGCAAGTCTGTTTTAGAGCTGCAGCATGTGCCAGACCCAGGCAGCTGTGAAATAAAAGACAGGATGTAAAGTGGTGCTTGCTTTGACAGCTGTAGATCTCTGTCAACAATGATGGTATTTTGAGCATTAACAACAGCAGCTTTTTCCTTGGACCAGCCCATGGATGCTGGAGGGAGGTCTGCAGCCCCCCACAGCTTCTGAGCACCTGTCTGGCAAGGAGTAGGGATGCCCAGCACCCATCCCCAAGTTGGGGGCTTCTCAGGAGAGTCTCTGCACTCCTGCTGCTGTAGGGTGAAGGGAAAAATCAGCCTCAGCTCAACTGCTGTGCTGAGAGAGGAACAGGGGTTCAGCTGGGGAGGGGGAGAAACCAGACATGATCTGCCTGCATGTATGTTAGGTTAAACCTGAAGGCAAGTGAAAATAAAATAGAGCTTGAATAACAGAAGACGCTGCATGCTCCCTGTTCTGATCCTGCACTGCTCTATCCTGTTGCTGAGACTGCAATTGCTTGGGCTTCTGTGTATTTTATTCCTAAATTGTGCTGCTGCAGAGTTGGCTCTTCTTGAAGAAATTACTTCTCTCTGCTAGCTCTCTGCTTGTGGCTTTGGAAGGCAATGGACAGGCAGCCATGGCAATATTACTGCCTTCTACATCTGAGCTGGGGACCCTTGCCTGGAAAGGGAAAGAAGGGTCCCCTTCTTTGAGGAGGCAGTGGGTCTCTTCTGATCCCCCATAAAGTGTGGTGGTGATTAATGTCCTCCGGTGGGAAGTACTCCCTGTGCCTCTGGCTTCTGAGTGTCCTCAAGCACCTTTGTTCAGTACTAGCATGCAATGTATTATTAACTGTGAAGAGTCTCTTCTCTTTTCCTGCATGGAAGGTGCCGAGATGTTGCCCATAAGCTCTGCAGCAGAGGCTGTGGCACTTGGACTTGTGTTGCCTTCCCAATGTTCACAAGTGCAGCCCGTATGATTCCCTCAGGAGGTCCCTGTCCAGCCTCTGCCCAGGGCAGGATGGTTGCCAGTGCTAGATTACAGTTACTGTGGCTCTGTGCAGTCAAGACTTGAAAAACATAGATGATGACAGCAGAAATTAAGGCTAAGGATTCTCTCTGTGGCCACATTCAGCACCTTCGCTGGGAGGTGGAGAGGTGCCTGCTGGCAGGGTTATCGCTCAAAAATCAAGTAGGAGAGAATATTGCAGAGAGAGAAAATGGAAATAGCACAGGTTAATCTAGAAATGTTTGAATGAAATGTGCCATCAAGGGTTTGGAGAGAGCGAGCTGTACATGCAGCCTCTTCTCTGTGCAGTCCTGCCAGAAAGGGGCAGAGTTAAGGCAAAGCATGAAACACAGGCTGGCCATATACTTTAACTGTAAATTTCTAGTGCTTCTGGTGTTTCAGTCTCTGGTCTCTGGTTTCTGGTCTCCAGTGCAGCCAGTCAGCTGCATTTACTGTTTGGGGGACTCTTAGGAGAAAGGACTGTGGAGGTGGTATGGCATCTCTGTAACTGGGTGTAGTGGAGGAGGTGAAATATAAAGAGACAGGTAAATATGTCAGATCACCTAGTTGCCAAGGGGTCACATGTGGCAATGCACTGCAATTAGTCTGGCCTGGTCATTGCTGCTCTCTCTCTGGGGTTATTTGCAAAAACATTGCTTCCACAGACCACCTTTTCTCTCATTTTTGCAAATGAGTTTAATTTTTATCAAAGTGTGTGGATTTGTTCTCCTACTCCTGTGGATGTTGTCATGAGCTCAGGCAGCTTGAATCACAATGCTGTGCAGGACATCCATTACCCAGGGACAGTAATGATCCTCCCAGATGTTCCTCAAGGTACACATCAGGCAATAAAAATATGTCCTTCCTCCATGACTTAGGACATGTGCAAGGGACATCCTGCATCCGGTCACCTTGGGCCAGGACTGCAGGGAACAAGAGATCATGTTTTCACAGAGATGCCTTTTCTCCCCACATGATGCCTTTCTAACTGACACTATTTCTGATTCTTCCTACAGCTCTGTGTTTTGCTGCTCCCCCCAAGCCAACCATCAGATGGTGCACGATATCCTCAGCAGAAGAGAAAAAATGCAATGAGCTAAGGGACCTCACGCAACAAGAGAGTATTACACTGAATTGCCTGCAGAAAGCAACATACCTCGATTGCATAAAAGCCATTTCGGTGAGTGGGCAGCAAATTTCTCTGCTGGGGACTGAAGATGTTTTAGCAGCATGGAGAAGGTTGCTATTCCCTTTTAGTCACTGACTGTTACCTGTGATCCTCCTGTAGAGAAAGACTCACCCACAAAGATCCAGGAGAGACTCCAGGGAAGCATTTTCTCCCATGCACCCCTACTCTTTGTTTATTGACCAAAATCTTTTTGTTGTTTAGAATAATGAAGCAGATGCCATTAGCTTGGATGGTGGTCATGTTTTTGAGGCAGGCCTTGCTCCGTACAAGCTGAAGCCCATTGTTGCTGAGGTCTACGAACAAAGTGGAGGTACATTTTAATATTACATTTTTAAGCCAAGTGGTGGCAACAAACTGAGAGTGCAAAGGCCATCTTTTCTACATAGAGCTCCCACATTATTTACTGGGGGTGTTTGAGATACTCCCCCTGGCTTCCAGATCCCAGAGGGTAAAGGGTGGAGGACAGTAACACCAAAAGGTGAGTCGTCATACATGGTCACAGAGTGACTGCAATGGAAAGAGGGAGAGCCAGTGCCCCATTGCTGACAGTAGCTGCAATGAAAGTCACTGATCCCTTGATGATGACATGGCCATGGAAGGTGAGCACCATGAGCAGAAATCATAGACCTTTTGAAGCATGTCATAAAAATTGTATTACTCTCAGAGATCTTCTACTTTTAGTAACCTTGAAATATGCAGGTAAATCACTGAGTCAAGTAGCATAGATAACCTGTGTATCTTCCTGCACGCTCGTCAAGACAGAAAAAAAAAAAAAAGATTGAAGAGGCAACAGCATTGCCAGTAGTGGTTGGGGAAGAACACCCAGTTGAGATTACTGAGGCCAGAAGTGCAAACAATGCATAGGGGAAAAAAAAGTGCTTTGCAGCAATATTTCATGATTAGAGTTAACTCTGTTTCTTCAACCCTACTCAGTCTCTGTACCATTATTTTTCTCTCCCATCTTTCTCTTGGGAGCCAAACAGATAGTATTTCCCCATTTTTGTCCATCTCTCCTCATGCAACCCCACCATGCCCAAAGCTCTCAATCTCTTCTGACCTCTGCCCTGGAGTTCAGCCTATTTGTACACAATATTCAGAATCAATGCAACATAGCAGAGTCATTCTCAACACGGTAGCTAAGAAAATGCAGATACTAAATGGAAAACTGTGGTCTCTACTGCCCCTAAAACTCATTTTATTCATCTGAAGCACGTGATGGACTAGGTATAACTTTAAGGACTAAATGTGGAATTTCAGTCTTGCAAGGCTTACATGTACGCTTCAGTGGGCAATGGCATTTGAGAAATTACTTCCTAAGAAGATTCTCCAAAAAGTCTTGTTGAAGCATCCTTACAAAACTATGGGCACATCTAACATCTCCCCAGTGGCAAAGCATTTTGCAGTATGCATAAGCATTTTGCAGTATGCATTTGCATTTTGCAGTATTTTCAGATCATTTACCATTACAAGTGGAAATGCGCAGTGCTGGTTTGATATTGGCAGTGTAGCTTACCCCTAAGAAAACGGGAAGACCATGAGTGTTCAAAGTTGCCAATTATTTTGAAGTGGAGTACTTTATTAAATCAGAGGTTTCACAGGATTTGAAGTGTTCTTAAGTCCTGCTTTTTCATTGGTCTCATGCTTTTTCCCACATTGCAGGCTCCACAACCAACTACTACGCTGTGGCCGTTGTGAAGAAAGAAACAGACTTCACAATCAATGACCTGCAGGGCAAGACATCCTGTCACACGGGCCTGGGCAGGTCTGCTGGCTGGAACATCCCAATTGGGACACTCCTCCACCGGGGAGACATCAAGTGGGATGGCAAAGACTCAGCCTCCATTGAGCAAGGTGTAGTGAGAAATGGCAAGATAAATGGGTTGATGTTAAGCCAGGGATGGTGGTACGGTGAAAGCAGTGTTGCCTGACCTTCTGTGAAGGTCCAGAGGTGGCTGGCAGAGCAGTCATTGACATTCTTTGTGCATCCCCTCCCTTCTAGGTCTTTGTAAATGTGAATTTTAGACTAATTAATTCTTTCTCATCCATAGCGGTGGCCAATTTTTTCTCTGCCAGCTGCGTGCCTGGTGCCACCACTGAACAAAAATTGCGCCGTCAGTGCAAAGTGGACAAATCCACATGTACCACATCAGCATTTTATTCTGGATATTCTGGAGCTTTCTGGTGAGTGAAAGTTATATTTCCTCTGGGAAAATATTGTAGCCCTCACATAGCAAGTTTTTATTATACTGAGGAGGGCTGTGTTGCAATCAGGGGTCCTGAGGAGATTGAATTTACAGAACAACAGGGAGTGTTGGGAATTAAAGATCTAATTAGTAATAACTGTCAGGCAGTTAGCGGGAGATGAGAGAGGCAGCTGGGTTGTACGATTTTGCACAGACTTAAGAATGCACAGCATTAGCATCGTGCTAAGCATTACTTCTCTGCCACTACATTTTCTTCCCTATCAGCATAGCATTTTTGGGGAAGACAACTGCTCTGCGGTTGCAGTTTGTGCTGAAGTAATTTGCTGAAATAGGAGATAGAGAGCCACAATGTCTGGTTTTTTTAACATCCTTTCTGTTCCTCCCATCTGTAGCTGTCTGAAAGATGGAAAAGGAGATGTGGCTTTTGTGAAACACACAACTGTTCAAGGTAGGCCTGCAAAATCACTTATTGACCTCCTTTCTAGTCCAACCTCTCGCTGCCACTCCATCCTACAATTAATCTATACTGCACAGGCTTTCAACCCTCTCCAGGTTTGCCCCAAACCTCTTTTCCTTTAGAAATGTTTTACATACTGTGTGTTAACTCACTCTTGTTACTGAGAAATATGATTTTTGGTGAGGTCCACATTTCCTTCTTTGAGGTCCTTCTTTGAAGAACAAAAACCTGTTTAAGTCCAGTGATATTATCCTTGGTGCCATATCTCAGAACCAGATGCAGTGTTATGAGAGAAAATGCAGGGTGAGCAATTGTGTAGGTAAGCATGCTCACCCATCTCTCTGAGAGGGATTTTTGAGAGAGTTCAGCCCACAGCAAGAACTGACTAACTCTGAACTTGTCAGGGATAGAAGATGGCCTGGCATGCCCAGGACCTGCAGTGAGCTCAGTGGAGGGCCACCAAGATGGTCATAGGGCAGGGACCTCAGAGCAGCCTGCCTGTACCTACCAGGAGGCTAGCAAGAAGGTGGACAGAGGAAATATGAGAAACAATAATTATAAACTGAAGCAAGAGAGGTTTGGATCAGATACAAGAGGAATTTTTTTCTCCTTCAGAACAGTCAAGTAGTGGGACAGGTTGCCCAGAACAGCTGTGCACTCTCTATTCTTGAAGGTTTTCCACCTGGAGCAATCTGGTGTGCCCCTGCTTTGAGCAGAGCCTTGGACCAGAGATCTTCAGTGGTCCCTTCCCACCTGAATTCTCCTGTAACCCCATGACCACAGATCTGGGCTGTTTTCATCCTTGACATTGGCTACAAACTGCCCTTCACAGACCATGTGTGGTTCCCGACCTGCTCAATCCATTTGTATGGTGTTTGTAAATCAGTTTGTGTATGCATCCAATTGAATGTGTCTGGATGTCTAGGCACTGCTGCCACATAAGTCCTCTTACTGTGGGATTAGTTAGGAGAGAAGCAGAGATAATCTCTCTTTCACAGGCACACGTATTCTCCTTCCCGCATTGCCTTCATATGACCATGATAACCCTATTACCACTGCAAAGGGAGTGTGTGTAACCTGTCTTCTGCAAAGAATTCTCCCCCGAGCTTCAGCAGAAATAAATGCATTACAAAGATGCCCCAGACTGGGTTTTTTTTGTTTATTTTCATGATGATGCAACTCATGGTTCCTCCTTTCTTCCAGAAAATGCCCCAGAGGATAAGGATAAATATGAGCTTCTGTGTCTGGATGGCAGCCGTCAGCCTGTGGACAAGTACAAAGAGTGTCACTGGGCCAGGGTGCCAGCTCATGCTGTTGTGGCTCGAGATGATAATAAGGTTGATGACATCTGGAACTTTCTCGAAAAAGCACAGGTACTGTCAAGCTCTCCCTTCCTCACCCTAGCACCCCCTCTTTGGTCCTCTGGCTTTGCTCGCTCTCCCCAGATTTCCAAGTGCTTTGGTACAGTCATTTGCTGATTATTTTTCCCTCATGGCAGGAAAAATTCGGCAAGGGTACAACCAACACCTTCCAACTCTTTGGGCCACCTGTTAAGAAAGACACAGGCTTAAAAGACTTGCTTTTCAAAGACTCTGCTATAAAACTAAAGCGTATCCCAGCACTGATGGATTCACAGCTCTACCTGGGCTTTGAGTATTACAGTGCCATCCAGAGCCTTCAGAAAGGTAGGTAAACCATGAAACACTACTGTTATGTCAGTGTGAGCTGTGTTGAAGAGATGAGATTGAGATGAGATGAGATGAGATGAGATGAGATGAGATGAGATGAGATGAGATGAGATGAGAACAGCAAATATGTCTGGGCAAAAGGAACAGGATGTTTTCAAACACAGATAGTATTCTCTGCAAAGTATTTCCTGGGAAAGGTATTATCATTAAAATTACACAGTCTTCACAAACGTCACTTACATCAACAAGAGGAATTTGTTGATTCAAAAGTCAAAATAGCATCATCACCACAGTGACAAAGGTGGAAAATTTATACACACTCCACTCCTGGTCACTTCACCATGATTACAAAAACAAAAACTGCCCACAGTTATTCAGCTCGTGGTAGAGATTGGGCATGATAAAAACTGCTGCTTAAAAAACTGATTTTGGGACACAGGAGGAAGGAACATCCCAGCATATCAGGCCCAGTATTAGCCACCTGAGGGAAACAGTGTCTTTTATTTCCACTGAGACTCATCAAGTATTTACTTATCCTGCTTCCTGAGAGTCAAGCATCCCACAAATCACCTCCAAAGCTCCCTTAAAACATATAGTTGCTCAGAGGTTTCTTCAGTAAGTTCAACTGCTATGGCATTTTTGGAAGGGGGTGCATGGGACTTCATGTAGCATCAAAACAGATTATTCAAACATAACTAGGTTGTATTTTTCCAGCGTGGTCTGGTCTTAGTCTAGCGGCTGTCTGGGCTGTGAAGTCTGGAGAAATGCAGAATATATTAGAGCCAGCAATATCAAGTACTAGTAACACAAAGTAGTTTAATGGCTGAGAAGTTTTAGGCAACACAAACCTGCATGAACTGCTTGTGTTATGCCGAAATTCTCCTTTAGGGCCTGTAAGTTGATTTTTTGAGCATCCTTCAGCTTAAGAATTATCCCCTATATTGATGCCAGCTCAGGACTTATTAAACAAGAAGTTTTGCAGGGTGGATATACAGAGAGTTTCATGATTGAGTCCCACGTACCCAGAAAGTACCCCATTTGTAGTGTTGTTTTTCAATAGGCTTATCCTTGTTTTTCCTCTGCTGGCTTTACAGATCAATTGAACTCCAACCGCAGAGAAAACAAGACACGGTGGTGTGCAGTAGGCAAGGATGAGAAGAACAAGTGTGACCTCTGGAGTGTGATGAGCAATGGGGAGGTAGAGTGCACTGTGGCAGACAACACCAAGGACTGCATTATTAAGATCATGGTATGGGTTTTTTTCCTTTTCTTCTCCCTGTGAACCTTTCAGATGAAGTGCAACATTGCTTCTTTCAGCCTGGGAATTGATGGGGTGGAGGGGAGGTGGATTTTAAAATAAAAATGTTGGTAGCTTTGTGAGAAATACAAGTGGACAGAAACCACCCTCATCACAGGGAAAGGGCTTGACTAGTTTTTTAGCGATTAACATTTTTTCAAAAGATTTTACTGGACAGTGCTCTTTCTTGAGGTTTCCTAAAGAAAAAGCAGTTTAATGGTGTGAAGAAACTTTTTATTTGGAAAAGGCAAAAGACAAATATTGTAAAATGCAGAGAACAACAGTTGCCTACTTAGAAGGGCAGTGATTGCATAGTATAGACAAAGATGCTGGTGGCAGCTCAGAGGGCTGGATTAGTACTATGAAGGCAGCACAAACTGCAAACTTGAAAGGACAGCTGAGATATGTAAATCTGCCTGGCAGGGAAGCAGGCTAGGAGAGACACACGCCTGAGCCCGCAAGTGCCTAGGGGAAAACTGCTGCTGGAGGTGGTTCGAAGCACACAGGAGCAATAATATCAAAGCTCTCTCTGCTTGCACTAGTGAGACTTCATCTCACTGTCCATACGCTAAGGGATGGCCTCTCATGTCCCTCTAGCCCCAAGCCCTTCTCCTTATATCAAGTGCTTTTACAATCTGATTTCTGAAAAGTGCCAGTCTGGGAACATACAGGGTTGTTTCATCGCTGCGCTTTGTTCATTGCAGAAAGGTGAAGCAGATGCTATCAGCTTAGATGGAGGTTTTGTCTACACTGCTGGTGTGTGTGGCTTGGTACCAGTGATGGGAGAAAGCTACGATGGTAAGCACAGCCCAGACTGCCCCTCTGCGTCCAGGTAGCAGGGAACAGGCTAGTGCAAAAGCACTGTCTCTATTCTGAAATCCAGAAAACAGCAGCAGGGCTGCATTCTGCAGAAAACACACACTGCTTTGAGGCAACTCTGCTTACCACTGCATGTCTTGTCTTTCTGGAAAAGTGAAACAGCCCTGGAAGAGTGGATGTTGATCGACACAAGCACCTCCAGCACCCCTCTTCCTTAATCACGTTCCTGTTTGTTAGCATCAGCCTTGGTAAAACTAGTTGGTTTAGCTCAGAGGAGCAGATGGAGGCTGTGCTTTGTTCTGTTGATGCACGAGGTATTACCTGAAATAGCCACTTCTTGAATGAAGTTTCTGCAGAAATTAGTGAGCTGAATCCTGTTTTTGATTTGCTGTATCTTTTACCTAATATCTTCTTCTTTTTCTCTCCCTCAGATTACAGTCAATGCAGCAAAGCAGAAGGAAAACCAGGTAAGTACTGCCAACAGAGGGACAGAAAACAGTCCTAATGGATATAACTAAAATAATATATATGCAGCGATGAGTGGACAATAAATGGCCAGTTTCCACACAGAGTGTTACCATGACTAAGGTAGATTATAAAAATTTGGGAGACAAATTTATTAATCAGATGGAAAGCAGACATCAAGGCAAATCATATGTTAGCAGCAGAGATTTGCACTCAGTTGCTGCTGTCTGGAGCACAGTCACACCATAGCAATGCCAGGGCTGTAAACATGGAATAAGGGTCTGCGTTGTAGCATTAAGAAATTGTTCTTTATAGAAATGGGAAGAGGGAGGGGGTTTGTCCTTTGCTAAAGAGGGAATAAGAAATTGTCATGTATGTCTTGCTACAGCCTTCTCACATATCCAAGTGTTAAGAGTTTTGGGGGGCGGGGAAATGTCAGAGATAATAATTTCCCAGGAGCATGGCAGGAGTAGATATATCACACCTGCAAGCTCTTTCACTGTTGCCTGGCAAATCATTTATATCGGCAAAATATTTCTCTACCCTGTTGATAGGTGCACTCCTTCAAGTGGAGCCAATGCTCTCCTAAGGGAACATGGTGGGATCCTTGAGTCAGTCTTTAATTCTTCTCCATTTTATCTTCTGAAAGCATCCTACTTCGCTGTGGCTGTTGTGAAGAAATCTGATAGCGAAATCACATGGAACAATCTTCAGGGCAAGAAGTCATGCCACACGGCTGTTGGGAGAACTGCTGGCTGGAACATCCCCATGGGCTTGATTCACAACAGGACAGGGAACTGCAATTTCCGTGAGTTGAGTTTTCTTCAAGCTGTTTCTTCAAGCTGGGAAACTGCTTGCAAAAATGCTCTCCCTTAGTTCATCTGATATTGAAAGTTTCTTATGCCTCAAAGATTCCCACCTGGAGGTGGGAAACGGAGAAGATTGTTATTTAAGCTTTCACTGAGTAAGGTTTTAAGCTGTTGTTGACTGCTCCAGTATGAGACACAGCATGTCAGCTGCTTTGGGGGGCTTTGCTTTCCTTTCACATCTCTGCCCTTCCCTTTGCAGCAGCCCAAAAGGCATTCCCAAAAAGGGAGTATAGGCTCCCTTTGGGAGTATAAGCACCAGTCCCACTCCAGTCCCAGGTGTAAGGGGATTGGTATTTGTGCAGGGTGTGGAGTGTGGGTAAAGGATGTGTTTATGATTCTCAGAAGGGAGGAGAAGGGAACAGGGGACTGATGCTGATGTCTGTTCAAGAAACTGACCTGACTTGCTGACAATAAGGGGGTAAAAGCCTGCACCAGCTCTGGGACTTTAGAGATTGCTTAGACGAGCAAACTTCGACACCCAAATTTCAATCAGTGAGAATTATGGTCCAGCAAATATAATTTGAAAACATTATCAACCAAGGCAAATAAAAGGGAATCTCTAACCACAAGATACTTGTGTTGTTAAGTTTTAAATAAATGTTAAGTTACTAACAAACACAACTCTGCCAACCCATAAAGGCTGCAGATTCTTGGGCTGGCTCTGAGAGAGCTGGGGATGGTTTGCAGAAAAACCATTCTTCTTTTTACGCCAAGACAGTGCCTATTGGATTTGAGCCGTAGGCCCTGCTTCATTATCAAAAAGGTTTGTAGTGAAAACTGGATGCATGTGATTTGATGTCCACTGAATTGTGCTCCTTCTTACAGCCTGTTTCCAGCCCCCAGTGACTTCTAACACAAATGCAGTGCGGTAATGTATTATTAAAAGAAAACCTAACTTTTCAGTGAAGGAAAAGTGCATTTTTCCTATCCTGTCTTCAGATGAATACTTCAGCGCGAGCTGTGCTCCTGGGTCTCCTCCCGAATCCCGTCTCTGCCAACTCTGCAAGGGCTCAGGGAGGATCCCGTCTGAGAAGTGCGTTGCCAGTAGCCATGAGAAATACTATGGATATACTGGAGCTTTCCGGTAGGTGGTGGAAACACTCAGCCTGCTCTCAAGTGCTCTGGGTCTAACCACAGGGTTTATGGGTAGATGACATGCAGGGTACAGCCCAATGTTGATGCTGATTTGCTGACCTCTTTTTCTCCATTACTCCACTGAAAGTCTGTAATATTATACATATGCAACATGGTTTTTGTTTATGCAGCCTCCTGCAAAATGATATAAATGTTCGCATTCAGTAAAACTAATGTCCTAGTGTCTCCAGGCAAACCTGGAGAGACACAAGCATTTTGGCCAGGCTTCCTACAATGGCAGCAGTGCCACAGTTTTAACGCAAATAAAGAGTGTTAAAAGAGGTGAACCTGCAAACAATGCTGCCACTGGCCACTCCCTCTTAAAAATGCTGCTTACTATAGTTAAAATGAACCATAACTTCTAAAAAGTGCAGAGAACAGCGGTCAGCCCCAGTGTCATCTCCTCTGTACCCACTTAGTTTCAGCTCAAGCCTAAGAAATTCATACTGGGCATGAATTTAAAAAGAGAATTAATCTTGTTTCATTTATATCTAATAAGAGACCATTGTCCAGGGTTTGCAGTCCTTCTGATGCAAGTTAGTGTTTTTACAAAGCTACTAACATGTGTAGGCAGGCATTGCAGAAAGCAAACTGAATTCTGATCCTGGCCAAACTGCTTCTTTCTGACACTAAAATGAATCAGCTACTTCTTGTGTGAGACGGATGCATGTCTTTTTCCAGACTGTGTTGAAAAACTGTATTTCAGACATCCTTAAATTATTCATGGCAGGGCTTCTAGACCTGGCTGTTGTTGAAGATCAATTTTACAAAATAAGATATAGGTCAGAATCAAATCTGCAGGAAAGGGCCAGGATTCAAGCAACCACATCACCTGCCTTTCTTTTTACTTCTCAGGTGTCTGGTTGAGGCAGGGGATGTGGCCTTTATTAAGCACACAATTGTGGAGGAAAACACTGAAGGTACGTGGTTATTCTGTTGCACAGGTCTCGGCAGGGCTGCCTTCCCCTATCTGCATTATTTTTTTCCCAGTGCAGAAGGTACTAGCAAACTTTAGCTGCTTGTCCTGTCAAGCTCAACCCTTCCCACAGGATGAACCGAACTCAAACATCAGCATGTGCTGTCTGCCCAGAGTGGCTCTTCCCAGGCATTTCTGCAGAGACACCTTACTGCTGTCATTTCATTTCAGTTGCTCAGGTGGTCCCTTAACGACAGGCTTCTGCCTTAACTGCGCAGCATTCTAGCTCTCTGCCGGAAAATTAAAAGTTCAGTTCACGTCTCTGAAAGCAACGGCTGAAGTTCTCCAAGCATTTCAGAAAAATTGCAAGCAAGGACGGAGATGTAACTTAATCTCTCAGTCTGCTCTGAGAGTCTGACTCATACCATCGATCTTTCCTGAATTTTACTTACAGCCTCCTTTGTACATGCCAAGTCTCCAAGTGCCAGTGCACAAGCAGGCAGATGCAAATGGGAGACTGATGTTCTTCTGCTACAAAACATCTCTGAATCTCCAAACCAAATTCTCTTTACAGGCAGAAATAAAGAGCCCTGGGCCAAAGGTCTGAAACTGGATGATTTTGAGCTGCTGTGCACTAATGGGCAACGGGCAAATGTAATGGATTACAGGACCTGCCACCTGGCCAAAGTTCCTACCCATGCTGTGATCACACGTCCTGAGAAAGCAGAAAAAGTCCGTGAGCTGCTGCAGAGACAAGAGGTCAGTAGCACTGACAGTGCAGGAAATGTTCTGGGTTTGTTTTTATGTGGCATGTCTGCATGTTTAGAGCAACGATGGTCTGAGTTTCCCCAGGTCAGTGTAGCATGGAAGACTTTAACTTACCGATATGGGGTGACTGCCTTCTCCCTTAGCCTCTTCCTTCCTCCATCCCTTCTAAACTGCTCTTTTTCCTCTGCCACCTTAGCAAATAGACTTTTAGATAACAATTGGATCTTAATGGTTGCTTTTGTCACACTATACTGTGTGACATGAAGCTATTGCCTCCTCAGGCTATGCTCTTGCAGGTGTGTTTCAGAAACTCCTCTGGTCTCTAACCCAGCTGGGTCAGGACCGTCCCAAGAAAACAGCAGCTTCCCTGCACACACAGAGTCTTGAAGCTACTGGTGTAACCAGGTTAAACCAGCTCCACTTGATTTTACATGAGAAACAATGGTTGCTCCACCTTCAGGGTCTGTTGAGAGGCACCTAGGGAGCCAGTGCGTTTTCCTTTCAAGCCATGGCTAAGGCATAGGGGCTGCTGGCAGCATCTGCTGACGGAGTCTCTATGTAGTAGACATGTTAAAGTGGAAAAAAATTGTTTTGACAGTCATGCCACAACTGTGCCTACCACTGAGAGAACCCTCATCTAACCAGACAGACAGCAGATTCCATCCTAAATTTCTGGAGCTTGGCTGGGGACTCCCCTGGATGATAGTGAAGAACTAAGGACTAGGACCCAGGCTTGTACGAGCTGAATCTTGCCAGCTTTCTACTTTTTGCATACACTTATGTCTTCCTGCCTTTATTTCAGAAACTGTTTGGAACAAAAGGAGTCGAGAAAGACAAGTTCAAGATGTTTGAGTCTCAAACCAAGGACCTTCTGTTTAAGGACTTGACCAAGTGTTTGGTCAAACTCCGTGATGGAATAACATATAAGGAATTCCTCGGAGATGAATACTATGCTTCAGTTGCTAGCCTCAATACCTGCAATCCATCAGGTAAGTGTAACAGTCCCAGGGAGAAGTTCGTGAATTGCAGTTCTTAGCCTCACAGGTACAGACAGCTGCTTCTGTAGCTATTTATTTTTTTTAACCAAAATGAGGATAACTCACAAAAATCCCAGCATACTTTTCTCAAAGTTCCTTAGAAAACAGTCTTGAAGTCTCCCGCTCTGGCATCAACGGGAAGCAAAGATTTTTATTCATCTTTAGAAATTACACACTTTGAGAAATGGTAAAAAGAACCCACTCTGGCTCATCAGTGTGTGTTAATTGTGATCTGTGGTTAACACACATATTTTTTGTGGCACACTGAATGTATTTTTCTATGTGATAACATAGTTGGCATGGCTTGTTGTGTGCTGGTGGGGCAGGAGTATTTAAAAGTGGGATCTGAACCTCTCCCTGTACTTTTTCTTTTCAGATCTCCTCCAGGTGTGCACCTTCCTTGAGGACAAGTAGCAAGATGGGAAGGACTCTTTCTGGAGTGAGGAGAAACTTCAAGCCATGACTCCTCTCTTGCCCTGAGCATGGAACACCAACCTGCAGAGGGCCCTCTGCCTTCACTGCTTTCTCTGCACTTCCTCATCACTCTGAAAGTGGCTGTTCGAGACTTCACCGTTCTCTACTGCCATCAAAGCAAGAAATAAAATCTCAAATCTAAATGAGTGTCCTGAGATTCTTCAAAATGGTCCTTAAGCCCATTCCTTCCTCAGTACTTTTCACTGTAGGTACCAATGTGGCTATTGCCACTTAAGGCTATTGTTGCCCGTTAGAGAAATTTGTTTCAACATTTGCCAAAGCAAAATGGATTAAATACACCCTAGAGCCTAATTAACAAATGTTTCGTACTCTGTGTGCTTTTGCTTCAACCAGGTTATTCTGTTATCTCCCCAGCAGTTGAAATCTGGCTGGTGTGGTTGGCTCTTCCTATGTCTGTGTCAGGGAAGCTAAAGGGTGAAGAAGGAAAAAAAACCAACAAAGCAAACAAAAAAATACAGTGTTTGTAAGATGGAAGGTCTGTTGAGGCTCTCTGCTTCAGAGGAAGAGAGTCTAAGGTAATCCAGCAGCTCCCAGTCCTGCTGTCAAGGCAGGTAGGGAAGAGCTGCTGAGGGCAAAAAGATGCTAAGAGCTTCTGGCATTGAGGGAACTAATATTTTGATATGCTAACAGGGATGATTTTTGGATGAATATGGATGTGTTGTGAGAAGTCTGCTGAATGGACTGAAAACCTTTGAAGGCAGAAGTATAGAGTGTGATGGGAATCAATGAAATTTAGTTCCTTACATTTATGTAGGATGAAGTATGCTGGATCATAGAATCATAGAATGGCCTAGCCTGGAAGGGACCTTAGAGATCATTTTAATCCAACGTCCGTCATGGGCAGGAACGCCACCTCTCGACTAGATCAGGCAACACATGGAGACTGAACGGGAATTGAACCTGCAACCTTGGTGTTATCAGCACCATGCTCAACCAATTCAGATAAATAGCTTTTTTAACCTCTTCTTAAATATTAGCAATGGAAGAGATACAGTACTTCCTATCAGGTGTAGGCTCTTGTCCCATAACTAGAAAGCATGGAAAAAAAGGAACCTCACTGGATGATCACAGAGTGCGAAGGGACCTTCAGCGTCTCCAGTCCAACATCATGCTCAAAGAAAGGGGTCAACCAGGTTGCTCACAGCTTGACCCAGTCGGGCATTGAGAACCTCCAAGAATGGTGACTCCACAACCTTCCTGGGCTGCTTGACAGCCCTCAAGGGGAAGAAGTTTCTCTCATACCCTCTCTGATTAGGGGACTCGAACATCTCTCTTAGAAGAAAAGGCTGAGAGACTTGGGTCTTTTTAGTCTGGAGAAGGCTGAGGAGGGATCTTATCAATGCTTATAAATACTTAAAGGGTGGGTGCCAGGAGGAAGGGGCCAGACTTTTTTCATTGGCGCCCAGTGACAGGACAAGAGGTAACAGACACACACTTGAATACAGAAAGCTCCATCTATACACGAGGAGGAACTTACTTATTTTGAGTGTGGCAGAGCCCTGGAACAGGCTGCCCAAGAGATGGTGGAGTCTCTGTCTCTGGAGACATTCAGAACAGGCCTGGACACCCTCCTGTGCAACCTGCTCTGGGTGAAGCGGCTCTGTCAGGGGGTTTGGACCAGATGATCTCCAGAGGTTCCTCCCAACCCTGAACACCCCGTGACTCTGTGCTGCCATTGATCCTCATCTGGCACCGACCTTACGAGCCGGGCTCCCTTCTCCTGCTGTCTGGTACAAACGTGGCCCTTTCTTCTCCAGACTCAACAAGTCCTGCTCGGCACTGGGTGAGCCTCCAACCCCCTGGCCCCCCTGGGGCTCTCACCTGCACTTGCTATCCCTCATGGACGCCTTGCCTCAACAAGGGGACCCAAAGCCAGACGCAGTACCCAGATGGGCCCAGATGTCTCAAGGTGT